CCGCGCGCACTCGACCGCGAGCGAAGTGAGATGGGCGGCGAGCCCCCCGACGGCGGCGGTCGTCAACCCCGCCGCCATCTCCTCGACGGGGTGGAGATCGACGTAGCGGGCGAAATTCCCATCCCCGAGGACCCCGCGATACCACGCGGTGAACTGCGAGGCCGCCATCAACGCGTTCGCGGGGGCGGGCGGCCGCGCGTACCCCGCGACCCCCCGCATCACCTCCGCATGCAGCGCGCGCACCACCACGGCGAAGAACGGGAACCCGCTCGAGAGCGGCATCAACGTCATCTCCAACGTCTCCAACAAGGGCTCGACTTTGCGCATCTGCTCCAGGAGATCGGCCCCGCGCGGGGCGATTTGGTCATGCCAAAACGCCGCCACATTCGCCCCCACCGCGGCGGCGATCCGGGCCTCCGTGATGGGCAACTCCCCCTCCCCCCCTTCCACGGCCCCGCCGTGGACGCGGTGGAGCACCGGATGCCGGATCTCCTCACTGCAGACCTGCACGCACTCTTTTAAGACGCGAAAGGCCGCGCGGCGGTCGGGAAGCGGGGGCCGCGCCGGCCCTTCCCCCTCGGCGGGGTCCTCCAGGGCCTTTTGGATGGCGGCCCCCATGACCTCCTCGGTGAGGACGGTGTAAATCTCCTGCACAAAAAGCGCCAGCACCGTATCCAGCTTCGAGAAATACGGATCAAAGACGGATTGGAAGGTGTGGTAGGTCGAGCCGGTCGAGGTGATCACGCTCTGGCGAATGCGCTGGAGTTTTTTCAGACGCTCGTACATCGACACGAACTCGCGTTTCTGCACTAAGGTGTAAAGATTGCCATAGCGGACCTCCTTCAGGGCGAGTGACCAATCCACGACGGCGGCGACGTTATTCCGCAGCAGGTGAAGCTGGCGGAGCTGGGAGTAGCCCTTACTCTCGCTGCCCATTTCATTGATCAGCTCCCCTTGGCGAACGAACAGCTCCCGCAGGTCTTGAAGCTGGTTGCCGCCCTCCTCAACCATCTGAAGCGCGCGCTGCGATTCCGCGATCTGGGAGGAAACGATGGTGTTGATCACCTGCCGTAGCTCCTTCGACTCGTTCGCGCAGCTCCGCAAAAGTCGTGGTACGGTTACCTCCGACCCTTCCAAACGTACCAGCTCGTTGTTGAGGGTGTTGCGAACATCCTGCTCCAGGCTTTTCCGTTCCGCCTCCGACAAGTAGGGTAAAATTTCTTTCATCGTGTAAAACGTCATGCTATTCCGCGGTAATGCGGAAGTCTCATTAGGTGTATAGCGAGTCGCTCCATTTTGATTCGGTTTCATCAGCTCTTGTTATTATTTGATTTGTATGTTTCTCGCAATTGTTTTTGCAAGAACCCCCCCTTTTGACGTACAACCTATAATATTCGATGAATGCTTTTACCGTTGATATCAACTAAAGAATCTCAACGAGAGAAAAAAATTAGCAAGATGTCAGCCCCTTGTGAGAAAACAAAAAAAATAACTTGCAGAGGAAGGAAGGGGACTAAGGCTGCCACAGGATTGTTTTTTTATTTTCAAGGAAAGACGTATCCCATCGCATACATCCTTCAAACTTCTATTATTGACGTAAATAAACGAGTTTTTGAGAAAATTCTGGAGCCATGGGTTGAAACGTAGGAGGCTGCCCTAGCCTCATTGATACCCCCGGGTATTCATAGGAAAAGCGTATAGATTAAAACGCTTCGTTTGAGTTTGTTTTATTATTCTTCTATAGGGGATTCCTTTTTCTGCAGGTTGAGTTCGCAGCATTTTTTATTCCTTAGGAGCGCATCACAGGCGCACCACACGAAAGGAAGCCTTCATCCCTCTCCTCAATAAATAAACTGGTTTTAAGCATGAATTAGCGTCGTTATTCAGACTACTACTTTTTGCCCAATGCCTCCTTCCTCTTCATATACGCACTCACGAGTAAGTCTGCTCTTTCATCAAGGGTTTGATCGCGGTGATCTGCTTGAGCCGCGATAGCCTCGGGAAGGGTTGGCATCAACTCGTACTTCATCTTAGTCAAACGATTCGATTCCTCGAGATAATCCGGTACTAAATGCTCTGTTCGCTCGTCCATCAACTGAGACTCTTTAATTTCGTAGTTCAGCTGCTTAATCACACCGGACAATAAGTAAGACGTGTGCGTGGCCATACAAAGCTTCCCCCCGAAGTAACCCCCTGCCATCGCGATCCATCCACTATAAGAGCGAAAAAACGGGATCCGGTTACTGAGGCTGAGGCAGATCGCCATTGTCGCCATCATATTTCCTCCAAAGTAGCCGTAAAACCAATAGCTACTGTTCGCCACCGCGTTGTACTTCTCCATTTGCCGCTCCACCCTCGCCCGGCTGTTTTCGATAAACACCCTCGCGGTAACAATCGCCTGCTCGTATTTCTCCGCCGGGGTGAGCGGCTTGTTGCGCTTCGGCGCCTGCGCGGTGGCCTGGCTGGGGAGCGTGAGGGAAAACGACTGGGATTTCGATTGCGTGAACATGGGAAGGTCGAATCTATAGTTAGATAGTTATAGTTATTGGGTTATTTACGGTATGTCCAATCGAAGTCTTAGACTTTGGGGGCTTGAATGATGGCTAAGGTTTTGTTTTCCAGCAAACACGATATTATATGCTGTGTTTAATAAGTTGAAAGAATGTTTTTTTTTTTTTATAGTTGTTCTCCATAAGGAAAGAGAGAAAGTCAAGGGGGAATAAGAATAAAGAAAGAGGAATAACTGGAGAATCGATATCCAGGCGAAGTTCTACCAAGCGTTTGCCGAACCGTCCGTCGCCCGTTCAGCGGCAGTTTCCATTTCAACTAAAACACCCCCACTTACACACACTCACAAGCACAAACATCGTGTGTGAGCAACCAACCAAAAAAAAAACTTGCCATACGCAACCCCCCACCCGAATCAACCCACATCGACTGATGTCGATATCGACCGCATAGGGATTCTTTTCCACCAGCCTCACCCCCCTTCCCCTCCTCCCCTTCCCCCTGGGAGGTGCCGTTGCAGCGACTCCGAGAGCGGCGAATACGGCGGCTGCGGATGATCGGGCGTGTAGAAGCCGAGCCCGCGAAGATCGCTGGCGAGGGCGCCCTGGCTGAACCCCGGCGCGACCTCCCGCGCGGGGGCGTGGTAGCGATCGAACAGCGCGGCATCCCTTCGGTAAAGAAACCGCCGCCGGGAGGGATTCACGCGGTACCGCGTCCGCGCGGGATCGCGAACCCGCCCGGGCATTTTCGCCGCCCGTGTGGTGGCGTAGAGCTCTTTACTCCGCAACCCCGCGAGGAGGGGGGCGTCCGGGGCGAAGACCCCCTCCGCCCCCATCGCGAGCGGGCTGTGGGGGCCTTTCAGGGTGTGATACGGCCGCGCCGCGGGGCTCCCGCGGTGGATCAACGTCAACACCTTCACGAGCGGGAGCTCCCGCGCGAGGAAGGCGGCGAGGGTCCACAGCAGGAGGTCCTCCCCGAGGACGACCCCGGCGTCGTGCAGGCGGAGCTCCTCCGTGAAGGGCAGGAGAAAGGCGCGGCCCGTCGCGAGGGCCTCGGCGATCCCCGCGAGGCCGCGGTGGAGGGCCGCCTGGCGGCGTCGCGACGGCCCCACCGCCGCCGCGGCGTGGA